ATCTGATATTCTCTGAAACTGTTCTCAATGCCATTCCAGAATGAACTGTTTTGGAAGAAGCACTCTAAAATCAAATTCTGCAAACCAACTAACATAAAATTCCGGGTCATCACTAGCCTGAAGATAAAAGGCTAGACTCACAAAGAAACGTAGGTGTCTAGAAAATCACTGGGATTCACAAAGCCTGAGTTCAGCACCTAGGTTTTCAATACAATGAATGGGAAGAGAGAGGCACCTCAGAATGGGATTCACAAAAGCCAGCATGCAAGGAGGCTCCTCGCATAAGGTAGCCAATGGGAGGTACAAAGCCAAGGGATGCAGGGCCGCCCAGAGGATTCAGGGGCCCTGGGGCAAAGCAATTTCGGGGGCCCCTGCCATAAAAAAAATGGCAATACTATAGAATACTATATTCTCGTGGCGGGTCCTGCGGGGCCCAGGGCAAATTGCCCCACTTGCCCACCCCTCTGGGCGGCCCTGAAGGGATGTGTGGTAAGCCCTGCACATCTCTGAGAGATTGGCACCTTAGTCTGGGCTACAGGGAGACATCTTCCTCTGCTCGGGATTCTTAGCTATAAACCATCTCCAGTGTTAGGTGCTTTTAGCAAGAAGGCAGAGGGTGGGGAGAGGACATAGTCCTTCATAACTTTTAGCCCAGTAGTTAGGATGCTCACCTGGTATGTCAGTATGGATGTGAGAAACCCCCGGTTCAAGTTCCTACTTCACCTGAGGGGGAAAAGGGATTTGAACTGGGATCTGCCACCAATCAGGGGAGTTCCTTAGTCACTGGGCTAAACATTCCAGGGGAACGTCTCTTTCCCCTCCCCCAACTCCTCCAAGCTGTTTTCTGTAAACTATATACAGGAGCCAATCCACTAGATAAAGTCTGAGCATGCTTACCGGACTGAACCCTGCAGGCAAGGAACACCTACCTTCTCCCAATTTGTGCATCACTCTGGGGCTTAGGCATCCGGGTGCCTGGCATGGGGCTGCAGTGAGTGTGCTCAGAAGTAGAAAGAGGGGTGCCTTTTACTTCAAAATTTTTAGGTACCGAGTAATTTTGGGCACCTATACAATTTGGAGGCAGCTGGGGGTGGGGGGGGATTGTTAATCCCAGGAGGGTCTGATTCCGGGATTTAGGCACGTACATCCTTTTGTGAATCCAGGCCAAAGTGTTTAAAACCCAAATATATATATTTTGGTGTCTATTTGCAATGTTGGTGTCATTACAATGTTGAAAGAGTAGTTATTACAATTTTTATTTATTATTAAAGTAGGCCCAGACTTTGTAACAAATAACCTCATTATTATCAGTCCCAGACTAGCTCTAGAGATATTAGTATTATCAGATTTCTTTACTATTAATCTTACTTTGCACATCAGCATCCATTTTATTGAACCACTGACTCTCAAGTTACACAAAAGCGAAAAATTGGGCTTGTGGAGAAAACTCTACATTCATCCTTTGAAGTTAGGTCAAAAGACGGTTTTCTTTTAATTGGATGTCACATTTTTCCTGTTTATTTCTAAAATACCGAGCTACCTAATTTTCATTCATATTAAATAAAAAAGACAAAGAAACAAAAACCAAGTACTGTAAGCAAAGCAGCACTAGACATTAAAATAAAACTCATAAGCCAGCACTTCAGGAAGAGGAATCAACTGAAGAAGCTTAGAATTTACATTATGAAATGTTTTAGAAGTTTCACAAAATGTCTACAGGGTGCATTCTACACAAATCTACCTTCAGCTAGCCTCACAGAGGAACCAAGTAATATTTATCTTATAGCACTTTATATAAAGGTAGTTAAGCTCTGGAATAGGCTTCCAACGGAGGTGGTGGAATCCAAGTCATTGGAGATTTTTAAGAACAGGTTGGACAAACACCTGTCAGGGAAGGTCTACATTTACTTTGTCCTGCCTCAGCATGGGGACTGGACTTGATAACTTTTCGAGATCCTTTCCAGCTCTGCATTTCTATGATTCTATACTGCAAAGAATTGGAGGCAAGATATCTTATGTGTTCATATCCCATTAATGCTTGTTCTTGCCAGCTTCATCACATATCACAATTCAATGAAATAACAACATACTGCAATGGCTTCCTCACTTTGGACTATTTTGAAATTACTGTAGTGACATATTAGCATTTCCTTTGTACTTCGAGAATTTGTTTGCATGGCTATTTTTGCCAATCAGCTCTTTGTAATAAATACAGCATTTGAATGGCTATATAGTATGCATGATTGCAGTTTTCCTTTAGCTGCTGCTAGTGATGCATCTGTAAGATTTTACAGCATTTACAGGAAGGCAATTGAAAAAAATGTGGTAAGGATGTATACAGTGTACACGTTTACTCATTTATGGCCTGATAAAATACAAATGTCCTAAGCAAAGACTGATGGGGACACCAACTAGACATATTTTTGTGGGTAAATCAAAGGCCCTCAGCAGATTTCACTTATTATGGTGATGAAGTCCAAAATCTTGCGCCTGATTTTTCAACAAAATTTTTCACTGATACCTCGATTAGTAAATGCAAAGAGATGTTATGATATGTCAAATACTGTAACATGTTTAGGCAATCCCTCCATTGGTGTTCCTGTCTCAAGCACATCAAACATAAGCTACTCATCTTCACTTACAAGGCCTTTCATGGCTATCCCTATTCTGCTCATCACCTTTCATGTCGATGTCAGCTCCTGCTTCCGATCTGATCAGGATGCCAGCCTCCATCATCCGCTTGTTACATTTTCTAACAAGCACCTTTGTGCTTTCTGCCATGCTGCCCCTCATGCTTGAGAGGAGCTTCCCATAAACCTCTGCAAATCTTAACTCGTCCTCCTTCAAAACCCTCCTCAAAAACATACTGTTCCATTAAGCCTACAAAAAATGTGTCAATGGTTAGGCTGCTGATGTGCTGAGACCACATCTCATCAGGCTGACCAATATTGTCTTATTGTTTCTTAGTACTCCCCCACTGGCCTGCATCCCCCTGTTGTCTCTCATCTTAGACTGTAAGCCCTTTGGGACAGGGAATGTCTTTTTGTTCCATGTTTGTATAGAACCTAGTATAGTGTCCTGGTCCATTAATAAAGTCCTATGTGCTACAGTCACACAAATAATTAATAAAAATAGCAATTGCTTTATTCATCTGAACACTTGCTTCAAAGGAGAAGTGTAATGTCTCAACAACTTGACACAAGTTTAGAATAAGGAGAGTCTTACCAGCTATTGCAGTTAAAAATCAGTGGAAGAAAATGCTTTTACAAGAGACTAGCATAGGGTTAAAGCCACATTTTTCTTTAACAGATGATATTTCAGATGGCCACACTATTCCAGATGCATCAATTTCCTTGAAAATCCAATCCATATATGTGCATATGCTGTGCTGGCAGGAGGACTGACTGAAATGGCCAAAACCCAAGAGCTAATATTCTTTTGGCCAGAATAATGCAATTATTATTTTCCTAGCTATCAGTCTAAGCATACAGAGCCATCTGTTATGCAAAGCAAACATACACATCTCAATTACAGAAAATGCAGTTGCCTTGACAGAATTTGGATTACACCACTAACCAGGGCTGTAAAATTTGTTTTAAGCTAGTGTATAATGGATGCCTTTCAGGAGTTCCCTAATTAGCATTTACCTGCTTAAACTAATTATTCATCCTTTTTCTTTATTGGCTTATTAAACTTTGTTGGATACTATGCATAAAACAGATTAATATGAGCTTAAGACAATAACAACATTAAAGTTCTGATTCTTTACTGTTTTAGCAACATGGTGGTGCACCAATTTCAAAACCTGAGATCCTTGATACTAGCTCCCAAACAGATTAAGGCAGGGATTAAAGCCCATTACAAAACTAGGGACTTCAATGAGAGACAAGAATATGAATACTAAATTAAAAATAGCTCCGTTTCTATTTCTATCATTTGGTTTGCTAAAGCCTCTACAAAACAAAATTGGTGTACACACTATAGCCAATTGCTTGGATGGTCTTTGCAGAGTTAATAACTCTTATTCTAATTCTCATCAGATAATATTTAAATTTGGTCTTTTTCTGCACCAAACATTAAAATCTCTCTCATTATTTTAAAATCTCATTCTTAATGTAGCTGGGGCACAGCAAAATCACTAGTTTTTGAAAGCTTCCAATACTAATAGTTGCCTCCTCTGAGCTGTGCCAACTTACTCAAGCAACAAGTTCACTATGGGTCCCCATTTAAAAGAGCAGACACAAACATTATCTCCATTTTTATCTCCTCAGGGTGACTGTACTGGAAGTAGATTATCCTACTTGGCAAATCATCATGCAAAAACTCTCTGCTGCATTTCTGAATCCAAATAGAAGGCTATTTCGGCTAGAAGCCTCTGAATGCAGTAGGATTAGCAATAAGCCACAACAAGCAACTTTTCCTTTTTCCTTCCCTTTTAGCCTCTGAAAAACAGATGTCAGCAATTAAACTGCAAATAATCAAAATACTGTATTTTATAAATTTGTCATTTCGTATTAGTGAACATTTGTGAAGGCTACAAAATATGTCCTTGTTGGAACCCTCCCTGCAAGACATTTTAATGGTCTCTTTCAGCATTTCTTGACTCCAAATGACTCCCTGTCATTGTGTCAGCTCCCAGGATAATAAAGGGTACTCCATAAACATCCAGTAATAGGACACAAGGGAAGTACTATTAGTGTGTCCCTTTCCTAGCAGGTATAGAGGTTTAAAGTTCAAAACAACTGAGAAAAGAAACTTCATTTGTTCTCAATAAATTAATAATGATCCTTTGTGACAAAAAGTTTTCAGGCCCAAGTTTATTTTATCTGAACATTCAATACTGACACATATACTTCTCAATTACTTCTCAGAATGAACCAGACACAGATCTTAAGTAATGGATTCCGTAATTCATGCAAAATACTGCAAAACAGATTATTACTTTAGCAGAAGAGTGCAGCTTACACAATTACATTCTAGAATCGAAAATTTTTACTTACTTGGGATAGGCCTAAATAGATGGAGACAGTTTCTGAAATGTACAAAAATTTTCCTTCTTGGTTTAGTGCAAATACAAATCCATCCAGGGACTGCAGAGTAAGAAAAAAAAAAAGTAAATAGATTGATGCAAAGCTGGTAACAGATTAAAACAAAGGCATCAAACACTAAATTGAGGATGATGTTTTGTTTTCTATATAAACATTTTTAACTTGTATTCCAAATACAATTCTTTTATAGTATATTGTATTTATATATGCTCAAACAGCACACAGGTATATACCAAAGTATGAGGAAATTTTTTCTTCCTTACATCATAGATACATTATGTGTAATTTATTCTCATTTGCATGAAACAAGAAATAAGGAAAAAATAATACCAAATATACTTCAGTTTTTCTACATGCAAAAATTATGTAGTAGTAAAGGGGGAAATTCCCCCTCACAAAAAACTGAGCAAGAGAAAAATTCAGATCATCACTTGAACCACTATGGACCTCCATAGTTTGTTAATTAATCCAGGATTACTCCAACCTCCCCTCACACACACACACACATGTGCCTTTTGTGGGAGAACAAACAAAGCCAATCAACAGATACTGTCCACTATGTTGGGTCTATAGAAATTTTATGAATTTCATCCCTTTAGTGTAAAACTAGATTCAATTTTATTCTGACAGGTTCAAGTCTTTAGATCTGGTTTCCATTGCAAATGGAAAAATCAAGATACGATTATACACATTAAGTCACAGCTTTTGAAACATGACTGCAGTTAATAAACAGAGATATATTCTAAATTTGATACATGGAGTAAATCACTACACATCAAGATGAAAATATGCCTCTTCATTGGGAATACATGGCATTTCATGTTTATTCCTCTATTGAGGCCAATTATTGGCAAAACACATATGTAACGTTTGCCGAAGCAAAACCACACATTTATAGAGATTAGTAATACTATAAGAAATTGCAAATGAGGAAACATCCCAAATCCAAGCCTTGGGATAGAGGTATGTGTAAAGCACAAATGTATTACATTTGAGATCAACATGTTCTTGGAAAAAGAACAGGAGTACTTGTGGCACCTTAGAGACTAACAAATTTATTAGAGCATAAGCTTTCGTGGGCTACAACCCACTTCTTAGAACAAGATAACAGAGTTGCACACAAATTTAGAGAAAAATGTAACATGCCAAAGTCACTGCAATAATTTCACTCTCTTTCAAATACAGAGCAGTGATTCCTGAAGCTTTTTAATGTTTTGATTCCTCTGCTTCTTGATTAATTTCTAACATACTGCCGGTCAGAAGCTGACTTTGGCAAGTGTTCACCTCTCTCTGATGTAGTAGGTGGTGGAATTAGTTCAAAAATCTGTGTTTTCTCAAAAGAATGAACCACACATTGGAAAACAAACACTCACAAAAGATATTGCATTAAAGAAAGGCTCTCTAATTTATATTTATGAATTAATAAAAATGTAAATTTACATAGACTTTCTTCAAGTAAAAACATTTATACTATGCAAGCAGTTTATGGCATCTTATAAATCATCATCTTCCCTCCCACCCACCCCGCAAATGATTAACATAGGCTCCTTGAACTTTAATGTCAATAACAGGTGAAAAATCTGGAATGGTGGAACTCAGATTTAGATCTGTACAAGGGCAAAATTAAAACCTTTATAAATGTGGCATCCTCTATTCTCTAACATCTCTTCTGCTACTGTGTCTGTGTCCCGTTCTCTTACCCTCCCCTGTGAGAAAGGTCAGAAGAGGAGGCTTCCTTTAAAAGCTCTGTGGCTTAAGGTGTCCTTCAGGAACATGGGGCTACCAATGCTACAGGGAACATTAATGTTTAAACCCCTGCTATAAATAGTATTGAAAACTCTATGACTATGTAGCCATGTGTTGGTGTATTTGATAGAGTGCCTCTTTCCAACAGCAGTCACATCCCATTGACTCGTTACCATGCTGCCATTATCTCCCCACACTGCCTATGGAACACAGTCATTGCCATATTGAATCAGGCCACTGGTCTAGATATGTTAATCCAGTATCCAACAGTGGATAATATCGGATGCTTCAGAGGAATGTGTGAAATATCCATAGTGGACATTTATGCAATAAGAGGTCAACTGGGAAAGTTTTTCCCTAAACTCAGGCTGTTAGTAGTTGGCTTATGTCTTTAAGCACAAATGTATAACTAGAGTTACTGAAGATATTCTTTATTACCCATAAAAATGTCTGTTCCTTTTTAGAATCCCATTATGTTCTTTGTCTCAATAATATATTGAGGCAATGAGTTCCACAGATTAATTATGTGTTGCATAAAAAGTTCTTCCTCTTGTAAATTTTACATTTCCAGCCTTTTTGTTCTTATATTATGAGAAAGGGTAAATTCAGCATGAGTGCCTCACTGATCTTTTCTAGCTTGTTTGCCACATTATATAATCATTTGGCCAAATCTGGGTGGAATTTTTGTGGTGACAGCATAGGTGCGGAGTTTCTAATCTGCCGGGGGGTACTCCCCCTGGCTCCGCCCAGGCTCTGCCCCCACTCCACCCTTTCCCCCAAGACCCCACCCTGCTTCTTCCCACCCCTGCCTCTTCCCCGTGCTGTTCTACCCCCTCCCCCGAGCGTGTTGTGCCCTCACTCCTCCATATTCCCTCCCAGTGGCTCCTGACACCATGAAACAGCTGATCTGAGGCAGGTGGTACGAGTGGGGAAGGAGGGGGGAGGCACTGATCAGTGGAGCCCACCAGCGGGCAAGAAGCGCTGGGGTGAGGGGCAGGTTCTGCTGAGGGGGCTGCCGGTGGATGCTCAGCACCCACCATTTTTTTCCTGTGGGTGCTCCAGCCCCAGAGCACCCATGGAGTCAGCACCTATGAGTGACAGTAAAAGGCACCTGGATTATATCGCGGACAAAGTGCAAGTGTGAGCACCATCACGTTTAAGAATTTAAGCTTCTCAATAAAATGGCAGTAAAAAATTTTTAATATTGACAAAGCAGCATAGTTTTCCCCAACCTCATTTTTGGACACAGCTCAACCATTTTTGCTGAAACTTTAAAAAAACAAAACAAAACAAAAAAGTTATCTTCAGGTAGACACAAGGCATGGAAAATTTCAGCCTGAATCGTTAAAGTTTGAAAAGTTAAGAGCAACTGAAAACAGGGACTTACAATGGAAAGTGTTAATCACCTTTAATTACAGGTGTCATTGCCAACTCTCACTATAATAGTGACTCATTCATGTCACCCATTTGTCGCTTCTCTCAGTTAAACAGCTTTTATCTTCTACTCCTTCCTGGTGTAGGAGTGGCTGTTCCTGCTCCTCCATCCCTTTCTGGGAGGCTGTTCTCCACCTTTGTCTCATGGAGTTGCCCGAGAAGCACTATGGCTGGGATGTTCCTGGATTGGTGGTGCCAGGGAAGGATACCACAAAGCTGTTTTTCCTCTCTGTGTGACTCACTCATGACCATTCCCATAAGATTTCCTCCAATTTGCCAGTTTGAGTTACTAGAATAGAGAGTGGATGAACCCTCCTCCTCCTCTTACTTTCTCTCTCCTCTCCCATATCCCCTGCCCCTGTTATACTTGTGTATCAACACTGACAGAATTCAGCATTTGAAAGGGTCAGAAGAGCAAAATGAGTTGTATATAATGTGCATCTAATCACATTTTGAAAAAGTCATTGCCTATTAGATTACTAAGGAGCTAACTATTTCAATTCCTGAAATGCAAGGCAATGAGAGAAAAACCAAAAGTGGTGGAAGGAAAAGACAAACTCTATTTCTAGTATCTAGGACAACCCATCCCACAAAAATAGGAAAACCTTCTAATGTAATCTAGTCCATCTTAAATATATGAGAGGGCAAAGATGGGCTAAGCACCCTTGTGCCAATGTTGTTGTTCCTTATACAGGTCAAACAGTATCTGTGAAGGGCTGTCTCATTTGTTATTCATAGGTATTATTTATGAATATTTATTATTTAGGTAATGCGTGTTGAAATTTTTCAATTTTTCATAAAGCCTGTGTCCTTTATGCACACCAAGACACCATCCAGCCTTCAAACAATGGTGGTGGAGGGGCTACGGGAAGGTGTCTTGTAGAAGAGTATTTGACACCATGGTACACTACATGTTTGCTGCCAATTTTTGTTTAGCAAAGAGATATTCTTGGAAGTATGATTTGAATTACATACATATGTCCAACTGCATAACTATTGTTAGAAAAACACAGGTGTTTCCCTCTAGCAAAATTGTAAAGCTCTCTTTCAAGTTGAGGACCCCAGAGTAACTACCAAAGATCAGACTTCTAAAGAGAAACTCTGTAAAACAAAGGCAAGCATGGCCTATACTCTGTTCCAAAGCCATTGTCAACTTAGTACAGAGGTGCGGCATGCAGAGACTAAACAGACTTCACAAAATGCTCCATTTTCACATAAGCAGAGGCCACTCAGATATAGATGGAATATATATTTTGGGACCTGCACTCTCAAGCTCCCTTCCCCCTTTGTTTTTAATGTGAGGTTGGCTGCCATCAGCTCAATTTTATGCTCACTATTGGGGTTCTTGAAAGTTGTTAATGAGGCCCTCAGATGGCCAAATTTGGGGCATCTCTGATCTAAGAAAAAGACTAATAACACTCTTATTTTGAGACAGTTTATACTTATTACTTATGTATAAAATGTGATTAAAGGTGAAGTTTCATAGCACTTTTTAATTTTGATTTGAGAAAACCATTATTTATTATGTTGTTTCACTCACCACAGGCTACTTTTTAATTTTTTTTAAACTGCCCCACTGTTTTCAACAGGCTCCAATTAAGATTCTGGGGTCAAAGGGTTAATTACATCTTCTTACCCACTATGTAGAATTTTCTGATTATTAACCAAGGTTGGATTAAGATGAAAAAGAACCGACACAAATGTTAATACTTGCCCCTCCTCAAGAAGATTTATCATAATACCATGCTGAAATCTATATGCTTTCTTCAAAGCAGTTAGAGAACAAAATCCTAGAGGAAACACTTAAATAAATGTTTTAAAGACATGCAGGTGTCTGATTTATTGAGACAGTCTTCTTATTA